GGATTACCGGTGAGGTTGATGGTAACCTATTCTTATATTAACACTATACTATAAACAGTTTCTCAGCCTGGGATGGGACTGTGCAGTTTTTATTGGCAAGAGGTTTCCTCTGCTGTGTCTTTTTTTTTTTCTTTTTCTTTTTTTTTTAAAGACAGACCTCCAAGTTAGCTGCTGTTTCAGAGGATTTTTTTAATATTGCTTATCTGATCATGATTAAGCAATCCGGTGTTTATAGCCTATGCTTTGACCTTGATGTTAGTTCAGCCGGGCAAGGATATAAATGATGAAGTAGTTCCTTAGGAAGCTTAACCCGTTGTATTTAAAATTAACTCTTTGATACGCTATTCTAAAATAGGAGCCTTTGAAGAGAGAGAGAAGTTTGGCTGCTCTGGCTAAATTTAAAGGCTGTTGAAGTTTGGATTTTTCTGCTTTTTAGCAACAAACTACCTCTATTTGTTTCTGTGAGCTGTGATCCAGCATTTAGTGCTGTGGCATTTACTGAGTAGATGAGGCGTACAGGGCGAAACGAACACTGGAAAGCAAACCTGACGTGCAGGAACTTCAGGCCTTGGTCCGTAAACCACAACGTACCGTGAAAGGTATGGATCCGATACAGTTTTGATAAAAGCTGGTTTGCTCTGAGATTCATAAATGATACAAGAGTGTAATGCGTGGTATAATGATATTTTCCTGGATTTCCTTTTTTTTTGTTTTGTTTTCTCAATAAATCTCAGGGCACAGCAGCCTTGGTGTTACCTGTACAAACAGAAAAGCCTCCAAAAGCGGCTGCATCTAAACCATTGATCTTTTAGCCAAAGATTTCCTCTGTGTGTTTTCATCAACACAAATTGGCCTTAAAAGAGGTGGGCTTCTGGCTAAAGGAAGGACTTCCAGCAGAAGATGCTGCTGTCGCAGTGGGCTGAGTGACACAGTACGTCCCCAAGTTATAATTTTATATTGCAGTAATTTTGCTGATCAAACAGCAAAGTTTAAGACAACTCACTGTCAGCATGAAAAAAGCCTCCAACTAAAAAAACCACCTTTAGTTTCTGCGAAGGAGCAGTCGGTTGTTGTGTGCAGAACTGCCGAGTCAAAGAGTTTTTTAAATACTCTGTAGCTCAAGGACTTGGCTCTTCTTCAAACGTTTCCAACTACAAAAGGATGGGTTATCTTGCAAGTGAATGTGCCCCCTCTAGGGGCAAAAATGTGGAAATTTGTTATAGCAGGTAAATTCAAAAGAGGGGAGAAGCGTTTGCTCGGAGTGTGAATGTCGGGGGGTTTAACCCCAGTGGGAAGGGATTGCTGTGCTGTAGGATGCAGCTTCTCTGCATCTCGGTTTTCCCGGCTCGGTGCAAGAGGTGACGTGCGCTGTATGCAGCAGCGCTCCGCTTTCGGCCTTCTCTTTAACTCTTAAAATGTTATGAAAAGCGTGCTGCTGTTTTTCCAGGGTAGTTCTTGAAATAGCTTTATAAAGTGTGTCTCATCCTGTGAAAAGGTCAGCTTGTGTTCGTTAGTTCAGCGTTATAACTCCTGAGCCTGTTCTGTGTGCGTTGTAGCATCTTGGTAAGAAGGAATG